CAGGGAATGATATTATGAAAGTTCCCATCAGTAGTGTTCATATGAATTAGATTTGAAGAATGAATATGTTTTTGCCAAACCTAACAACTATGCATCGGGAGTATGTAACTCCAGGCTAATCAAAACAAAACAAAACTAACGAAAGGCAAAGTGACAAAAGACAGAGAAGCAGGGAGAAATACAGTTTTGCGGGACAGGGTGACTCACTGCAGATGAGTGGTAAGGTCTGGGCCCTATCTTAAGGGCCAGTGATTATTATCCAAGGAGTTGAAATTGTATTAACCTTAGAATGGCAACTATGTCAATGCTTTGGGCATGGGGTTGATAGCATATGTATGTTAGAATATGTCACTAGAGATAGAAAGAACTCAGAAGGCCAATGACAATGAACTAGGAAAATCAGTTATGATAATAAAATACATTGCAAGTGCAAACCAAGGCAGGGGGCCACTTCCAGGTACAGTAGAATATAATCTCATCAGAGTTAGGTCTCCATGCAAATTGTGATAGGGTACATTCTATGCCAGCATGTTTGACTTCATGCCTAAAATTGTATCAGCACTTAAAATCTAAGAAGCCTCACCAGCTGATCTCAGCAAAGCAACATTATTATTGTTAGTGAATCAAGTTATGTGTTTTTACAATAAATATTTGCTGTTTAAAAAGAGGTGTGCATGTATAACTTAGCAGTTATTTTTCAAGAAACTGTAACCAAATTAATCAAAGTGCCTCAAACTTGAATTTCCAAGACATTAATGAACTCATCTTGGTCTCTGTGTAAAGCAGATAGAGACAGATTTCGTATATTTAATACCCAATGTGGATTTTCAAAGAGTAGATTTATAGTGAATAAATTCTAGAAAGAACAAGTTAGTTGCTTTGCATCTGTCAGCTCATCTCCCATCTGCCTGAACTCCACACCACCAATTCAGAGTCAAGGGGAAAAGAAGTGAAGCAATGAAGCTTTGTCTGACAGTATATCTACCTGCCGCCACAGACCGCAACTCTGCTCTTTGAGGCTTTGAAGGCTATTCATGTCTTCAGTGTAATAGGAAAGAACTTCTGCCAGAGGCAGTGGACTTCGCACCTGCTGCTTCCCAGGAGCAGTTGGTGCAGTGACAAGCTGAACACCCTACCCAGTAATCGGACAGACTCCTGTCATCAATAATTTTCTGTTCTTTAGAACCTCTAAAATACATGTCTGCCCATTTCCAGAGGAGCATGGACTAGCTTAGGTAGAGAGGAGGCCTCGTGTCTCTGCCTGAATGTGGCGATTATGGAGGATTGAACCTTGTTAGGTCTGTCTGTGGTATTGGCCTAGAGTGGTACCAGGGAAACTAGAGTGATAAAACTGCCTTTCTAAACTCTATTGCACTTGCTGGAAAATTAACTTGAAATGTTTTGTTTTCAGCTGTGAAAGCATGAAAGGAATGATCAAAAGTTTGCAAATCCTTGAGAGTTGTAACCGAGCAGATTTATGAAGGATATCATGGCAGGAAATACCATTTTTCCAGAATGAATTTGTGTTACCTTAGTATTTGAGGTTGCCTCAGTAGAACCTGAGAAAGCATAAAGTAGCCCAGGAATGTCAGGTAACACAGCTGCCCAGCTTCCCAGCAGACTCAGACCACTCCTAATCCCTCACAACTGTCAGCAAAGTCTCCCTTTTAAAAAACATAACTATTTTCATTATTGGATCATTTTCTATATCTGTGACTATGACCACTCTTTTTGATTTAGCTAATCTCTACAAACAATTTGACAAAATATTTAGTCTTTTTTAAAAAGATTTATTTATTTATGCATACAAGAGCTGGGGCGCAGGCCAGAGATGTAGGGGGAGAGGGATGGTGAGAGGATCCACCAGAGACAGAGTGGGGAGCAGAACAGGCAGATTGACTGAAACACACTACTGAGGGAAGTAGCGGGCGAAACAGGAGAGGTCTGCCTCGCCATGTGGGTTTCCCCCTGGATGGCCAGGGATAGAACTTGTGCTGCAAGGCTGCAGATTGCTTCACAGTGTGGTACTTTACCCGTGCGCCACCAGGGAGGTCCAATTTGACAAAATATTATAAAAGGTATTTTTTGGAGGGAAATAGCTAGTTGAAACGTACTTGTATAATTTTTCTTGATCAAACCTCTTCTTAATTTCTGGTCTGAGATTCCTAGTTCTAAATGTTTTGTGAAAAAGTTCTCTTCTTTGACTTCTGAACACTTATTTCATATGCTGTTGTGGTGGCATTTTTGTTATAATATTAAAAATAACAGCAGCAACTACCAGGTTTGGGAGACTCCACGTTGAGTTCCTGGCACCATGCCTATAGCTTAAATGGTTTACAGGCAACATCTCATTTAATTCTGTCAGAACTCCTATGAGTTATATTTTCATAAGAACACCAGTTAGATCCAGGAAAATCTGGGACTTATAAGTAACAAGAAAGCCAAATCAACAAACACAAACTTAAACATCCCTACTCAACTGCATAATCTTAATAACATTTTGATGAGGACTTACTTTGATATGACAGATTTCTGAAAAATGACATACAAATTTGAAATGTTTAGGTTAACTCATTTGACACCATTAAGAGTCTACGTTGAAATTAGGAGTAAATTCAGGGGAGTACTGGCATATAGTCAGAGAAAGGGATGTAATGTTGTCTGTGATTATGGAGATATATACTACATTTACTTAAATTATAATTTACAGATCATTAGCATGAAGTATTTTCTGAAGATGCTTTGCTCATACTCATATAATATCAAGCAAGTACCAACTGTCCATATAAATGAATGTAATATTTTATGACTATTATAATTTGATATACTTTTTGAAACACATGGAGCTTATAGAAACCTACAACTTCCTCCTTCATAAAAATGTCCAGCATCCTCTTTAATATATGAATAATATTTTCATGATATGATCTTGTGTATGCCCAGATTTCCTTCCTTTTTCCTTGGAGGAATGCCTGTTTAATGGCATAAAAGGTTATGCCAGCATGTCCTGGAACACAATTATTTAAGTTAATGAATAGTTATGAGAATAAAGGCAATTATGAAAGCTGTCTTTCCTTATACACACCCAAGAAGTTTGTTATGCAAATCTGACCTTCCATGACAACTATCTTACTGGAAGGTCTGGATAAAAATACCATGAAATGACTGCCAATAGTTGATAGGCAAAAGCATTGTCACAGAGGTTTCCTGAATGCCCAGTCTCCTTTCTTGCCCTGCAATCTCGTATCTCCTACCCACAGTGCCCATGAACCAAACAGGCTTCTCATTTTCCCCCTATTGTTGAATGATTTCAGTATTGGATTTAAAGGATGAATCCCAGATTTCATTCATAGCTCTGATGCCCACTAACTATGTTTTTATTGAAAAAAATCATATTGTTTCTCTAAATTTCATCTGTAAAATAATAAAAATGAAAACATCCTATGTATGCAAGAAGACTGCATGGCAATGTATATAAAATTTCTATTGCTGTAAGAAAATAAGTAAGATGCAAACATCCCTATATCCACAGGGCATCCAATCTGGTTATGAGAGTTTTCTTTAAAAAAATGCTTTATAGGGGCCTCCCCTGGTGGCACAGGTGGTTGAGAGCTGTGCTGTGGAGCTGTCTGCAGTCTCTGCAGCGCCGGTTCGATCCCGGCCGGCCAGTGACATTCCCACATGGCACAGCAGACCTCTCCTGCCTCTCCCGATGCTCCCCTCAGCAGTGTATTTCGTCAGTCTGCCTGTTCTGTTCTCCGCTCTGTCTCTGGTGAATCCTCTCACCCTCCCGCATATCTGGCCTGACCCTGGTTCTTGTATAAAAAATTTCTTAAAAAAAATGCTTTATAAGCCTAAATATATAAGTTTGGTAGGCCAGAGCAGTACAATACATGGAAACATTATCCGATGTTCACATCCTTTCCAACTTTAGGCTGTTGTCAGATCCCACACACCTCTCGTGCTCTGTAAGTCACAATTCAGCAACTGGACTCCTGAAGGATTACCAAACCTTGGACTACTCCCGATTCATACAGGGTGTTTTTATTTAAGCATAAATAATAATATAAATAAAAATATAAACATTGTGCAGCATAGCATAATATTTGCAGTATAACCCTTTTTAAACATCACCACCCTCCAGAATATGTTCATCTTCCGCAACTGAAACTCTGTACCTCTTAAATATTAACAATCCATTCCCCCCTCCCTCCAAGTGCTGGCACCAACCAGCATGCATATTTTAATTATTGGCTATATTGGATAAAATATAACTGCTGCAATAAATAAGCCCTAAAAGGTATAATGGCACAAACTATTTGACAGTGCCATATGTACTGTAAATTTCACCACAATTGGCAGATTAATTCATTTGTTTGGCACCACTGAGGAAGTTGTTAATGGGCAATGAATTGGACACATATAGATGTGGCTTGAAGAACAAGGCAAGTGGAGTTACGTTACTGTTTCTCCTCACGCAGACAGGGAATCTACTTCCGTTCACTAATTGCACTTAATGTAACCACAGGAGCTCAAGCTCCATGCGCATTGCCACTTAGCATCTGCCTTTTCCCTTCCACAATGAAATAAATGCATAAATGCATTTGTTGGCAACACTGACAAAGACCGATTTGTGGAATAATTGAAACCCTGATTTCTGTCATTAGCTGGCTGTTTACAAAATGCATCTTCCTGTCTACGTTCCAGATGTTTCTTCTTATTTTAATAGCTCTTTGTCATGACTTTTGAATTCTAAATTGTAAATGTCAAGGGAAAATACTTGTTTGTAAGTTTCATGGGAATGGCATAATCTTGAGCTCCCCAAACCTTGAAGTATTTCTTTGTTGGCCCTTTCAGAGTAAACCTCAGAGGTCTTGCTGAGTCAACATTAAATGAGCACACAGCCTTGAGGTCCACCTCACTCACTCCCCTGCAGTTACAGACTTTGGCTAAAAATGTTTGTGTTGGAATAATCTTTCCCTGCAACTTTTATTTCCCAGGGAGCGAGCATTGAACACTTCCCAGCCTGGGTCCCTTCAGTTTACTGTGGGAAACCTGAAGCCAGAAGCCATGTACACCTTCCGCGTCGTGGCCTACAATGAGTGGGGGCCTGGGGAGAGTTCTCAACCCATCAAAGTGGCCACTCAGCCTGAGTGTGAGTATGAAAGGGGAAGGGCGATATTTAGAAAGTGATTTTTGCCTGCAGTATCCTTGAACCCTTTCATTCGAATACAAAAGGGAGAGAAGATTTTTGAAGCAACATATTTAACTGGAGGATTTTTAAAGGTAAGGTGACTTTTTATCAAAATGGTCTTCTCCCTGAGGCCACATCTCCATAATGGCAAATTAACAGCTATTAAGACTCTCTCTGCCCAGACAGTCTTCATAGTCACTTCCTAAGTAAGTGGTTGACGTAGTCTACTAGCCAGTTCTTCAGCCCCTTCGGGGTTCAGTCCTCTCTATTGACTTTTCAGATTTTCCAAGTTTATCAATGCAGAGTACAACATCAAAGGTAAAAGAACAATGGACAATGGTGTTGCATTCGAAGTATAGGAACTTAGTGAAAAACTGAAATATGTCCTGAAAGCAGCTAGCAAAAGGGAATTTAGACTAAAAAAAAAACTCTCTGTATTTAATTCATGATTTTCAGTCACATGATCACAATGCAAAGAAATTGAATATCTTATCATTTAGTGACTTCTACTTTTATAAAGAAATAGCCCCAAAACGATACATTTGAAAAATATTTCTCTCACAAAATTCTGTTTTTTCTACCAAATTTCTAATGTTACTTTATTGATGAGCAGCTACCCAGCCTAATTTTGCATTTACTTAATTACATCTACTCCTTTTGTTAAAATTAATGGTGCTGTTTGCATTCCTTTTTGTTTTATTTAAAACTTATGGTTCACTTCAAAATCACCTCACCTGCTCTCGGAAGAAGGTGAAGGAGACATTAGAAACATTTTGATTGTGAAATGTGCGAAAACAATCTCTCTAGAAGGTCACTTATGAGCATTTTAAATTAGCATGTTGGAGAAGAGAGAGCAGAAGCACTTTGATATTTACCCTGGGTGCAAACTTGGCAAAATCTCTCCATTCTTTTTTCTACCTTACTATGATCACAAAGAAAAAGTGCTAAGTATCGTTTTGCAGGGCAGATGGGGTGTGGGGAGTTAGGGTTAAGCTGCACAAGTCTTAGAAATATTTGCCTTACAGAAGTAAAACTTCTGATAGCATCTTTCAAAGCTTAATAATGTGCAGGTTTTGAACAATTATCAGGAAAGGAACAGATACATAATTTCAGGACTCAGTAGCTAGAGTAAGCCATTAAGCATCACTCCATGTAGGGCTCTACTGAGCATGAGGCCTTGTGCAACTTCACTGGTTGATGCTAAGAAGCTGGCCCTTCTTCCAGGTTTCTGTTCTGAAGAATGTTTTGTTACTGTTTGGTTTTAAATCAATAGATAATTTTAACTTCCGTTTCATAGTGCCTGTGTCAGCCTACCACATGAGTCATCAGTTTGTTCATTGAATTACTCCTCATAGATATATAGAATCAATAATATATGAATATTTTAAATAATAATCATTATATTTGAATAAAAGCAAATTAAGTGAAGATATGTATTTTTGAAATTGATATTTTGCCATATTGCATGCAATCTGAGTTTAAAATATTTAAAGTTAAAACTTAAACTTTTAGGTATATTCACTTTCAAGAGATCCAATTTCTGTACCTCATCTGAATTTTCATTTCCTAATCCTAATACTATCCCTAGAGTTACTTAAGTGTGCTTTTTCAGGGCTGACTGGCCATGATTACATAATACACTTGATAAAAATCCTAGACAGTCAGCCTCAGTCTCTAAGACAAACATTTTTTTTCTTCTATCAATACTATTTTTTCTATGTCTAGTTTTAGAATCAACTTGAATCTGTTTTTTCTTTTCAATTCATTTTTATAATGCTAGCCTTTTCCCATCAAGAGACAGGAAAGTATTTTCCATTTTGACATTGATTAATAGTAACATCATTTTATGAAAGTATTACTCATGATACAACATTTTCTGTTATTTTAGGGTAATTAATAAAAAAATCAGAATCAGATTATTTGTATCACACATATGGTCTTAACTTTGTAAGACAAAAACAATAACATAATTCAGTTTATAAGTATCTTTAATGAGCCTCTACTTTGTTTCTAGCACTGTTCTAGATACCTGAGGCATATCAAAAATATGTGTGTTTGATGAAGTAATAGTTTGAATGGATTTTAGAGCCTTCTTGAAGAAGCAGATATTTTTAAATAAGTCAAAATAACAAAACAACTAAAGTAAGAAAACTTACATGAGTTTGTCAAGTGAAATATAAAGAATCTGAATCAGACTAGTTGTGAGTCCTTTGCCTGTAATGGGAAGACATATTATCTATTTAATTGTTTATGCTTAAATCACATTATACCTTCCTCGTCAAAAAAAAAGTGTAGTACTACAAAGAGAGCTTCCTAGGTCCTTTGTATTTCATCCATTCCTCCTCATTCAGAAAGCAGTCATAGAATTTGTCCAGGGGACCTCAGTGTTTACTTTGCTTAACGACAAATATAAATGATGTTAAGGCACAAAATAAAAATTAAGTGTGTGACTGGATAAAATATGTTGACTGTTGATATTATTGTCTCATAGTAGTTATCTTTCTGTGTTTCTGCTTTAGAATATGAAAGAGCTTTGAATTTTATTTTTTCTAAGTGTAATTATAAGGACCTTAGAATACTAATCATGTTTTGCCATTATTTTATTGAATATAACCTCTTTTCTTACCACTGTATGGAGTAAGAATCCCTCCCTTTGCAGGTCATTGTTTACTTGCACCGTGACCTATTTCTGTTTCATTGAGAAATGTTGTAGGAAAAATCATTTCATACTGAGTAGATTGGTGGATAGGAACAATTCAGCTTAGTAACCAGTACATTCAGTGTATCCTTAACATGTGCAAGCCAGTTAGCCAACCCCTTCAATTCATTCAGATTAAGAGTATTGTGGGAACTCACTTGCTGTCTTTATTACAGACATTAGGATAAATAAATTATGTTATCATGACTAATAGGTACTGCATGTGTATTTTATCTTCTGTTGTTAACACAGAATGCTATTTTGGCAATTTAAAAATATTTCCAGGATAAGGAACACTTCATCATCTCCAAGCCTGCTCAATAATACACCAATTGCTGAGGAAGATGGAAATTCCTGAAGACCCTGTGCTTTTTCTCCCTCCCCCCTACTTATTTTCTATTTTTGCTCCCACCCCACCTTCCCCCTCCCCCGCCTTTTACTTCTCACAAGCCTATATTTCTGTGGTTTTAGAGGAAATGCAAAGGCTGTTTTGTGGGGTTTTTTTATTTGGCCAGAATATTAGACTATAGAGGCCAGAGAGGGGGATGTTTCCATCTTGATTCCTCTCCCTGAAAAAAATGATCTTATCTTTTCAAAGTGGGTCTCGTCAGGGCATGCATTTGGTTGCTCCTTTTATCACTGTTTCCCCAAATATGGTAAAGTAATTGTATACTAAAATTACATAGCTTTTATACAAATTGAATTTCAAGTTTTCCACATTATTTGAAAATATCAACTCTATTATGAAAACCATATTCTCAAGGAATAAACACTGATGGAAAATATGTCTGAAATATAAATCAGCCAGCAACTGTTTCTAAAACTGCATCTATTTTATGGTAATCATTTAAATAGATCAACAGCCCAAGATCCAGTTTATGAAATAATCACCCAGAATAGAAAGGCTTGATTTATAGGAAGGTTTGTGTCCCCTGATTATATCTCCCTTTTGCTAAGCCCTTGCTCTTTCCCCCTGCCTTTATGGTGTATAATTTCTACACTGTATTATCAGCTGGATTTAAGTCCCTGCCTGCTTAAGACTTGTCTAATCTTTTCATACCACATGTGGAGAATTTTTGAATTATTATTTGACGTCCTTTAAGATGTTGTTAAGGCAGTTTAATCTTAAAGGGTGTTAAAATGGACCACATACTGGCTGGAGGCTTGAGTTAGAATGGGAAGCATATTTGCTAGACCACAACCCAATTATCCACAAAACCCTTTTCTATTTGAGAGTTGTAAGTAATATTCTTGGTTCATTATATTCTTTGCACTGAAAAGATGAGCGAAAGCAAGCCCCAAGTTGAGTGACTTAGAATAGACATGTATGCTTTTTTCCTCCTTCCTGGGCTTTTTCTTTGCATTCTGAGAGGGCTGCTTGTAGGGCTGTTATGGAGAAAACAGAAGTCTCCAGATATCTCTGAACATTCCACCTGTGTCTCTAGACATTACTTCCTGTATCTGAGGGCAAAGGCCCTTGTGACCTCATTTTCCTCAACTATAAGTTGGGCACATAGATTAAACCTCCTTAGGTTGCAACGACAAACTGATAACTGAGAAGCTGCTGGGTCATAGAAAATAAAATTTTGTTTTTAATTTTTATCACCCTACTCATAACTTCTACATCAGTAATTTGTGGTCTTGCATACACATATCTCTGAAAAAAACTATCGAATCACCCTAAGATTCTGTATTCTAAACTGTAAATCAAGGGAAATATATAATAATCATGGAAATAATGTGACAATTAAATGGAGACCCACAGTGGTTTTGTGTCTAGACTTTAAAATTCAAACACAGGTCCTACAACTTCCTATCTGAATGATTTTGGATAACTTAATGTCTCTGTACTCCAGGTGATTTATCTGTAATATAGAAATAATAGTATAACTTTATAGAATATTTGTAATAAATAAACCACTTAATATATGGGGAAAATTCAAAAATAAAATAGGAAGGAAGTAATGGAGTGATAGTTCCAGCTGCTTTTACAAAGTGTAACACTCCGTAGAGTAATCACCAAGGCAATAAGGCTAATATAACACCATATTGGCAGTTTGGATATGGTTCGATTGCTATACAATAAGTCATTTCTTTATTTTATTAATTCCTCACTAATTATCCTTTCTTTACAGTTTAGGAAGGTGCTACAGACTGATTTGCCCTCTAATTTTGCCCACTGAACATCTTTGCATCCCTAGCTAAAGTCTAAAGTCATGTGATGAGAAAATACCTTACTATTCCATAAAATGTGTTATAACAT